AACAATTCACCTCCCAACCCCTGATCGAAAATCACCTCCCGCATGAGTTCACGAGTTCCATATGGAGTGGAGATTTGCTACTCAAATTGCTCTTCTTATAAATTAGGTATTTTTCCTCCCAATTAAAGCTTATGCTTGGATAACAAGTCTTTTATTATTTCCAATTGAATAAAACCATAGCAATTACAGTTTCATTTCACAGGTTTGAAAAGGAGATTGTAGATGAAGGCTTGGACTTAAAGCAGCACTTAGATGGTATAAGAGTTCTACTAATAATTTAATTGTTAGCATGAAAAATTAAAATTGTCTTTTGCATATATGTAGTGTTTGATAAAATGCTTAGCTGAAGAAAACAAATTGGGAACTTTCTGCGTGACAAGGAATATAACTCCATCCATTTGAGATTATCTTCATTCACTCTCAGCTTCTTTGAATTTCTCAAACTGCATAATTTATTCTTTCCTGACAGATATCGTGAACATTTATGAATTTTATAATCTGAGTTCTGCTAAAATTCTTTCTCATTTTTTATTTCAATTGTCTTTTTCTTTAGTATAAATTTATCAGATAAATTTGGGGTTCCTTCTATTATTCTCTTCAGCACAACCTTACTCACTAAATAATCCTTGCTAGAATCGCTAGAGATCTGACAATTCGAAAGAACAAAACCGGAGAACCAAACATGTGTATTTATATTCAAGGTACTGATTTAGTTTACGAAAAGTCTCAGTTTTGATTTCCTTTTTTCCAGATTCAAAGTAGAGCTTTTTTAAGTTTTAATTTAAAAGATGTAATAATTAGTAAATATTTCTCTCTTGAACTAAACTGTGAGTCTGTGACAAATAACAATTGCATAAGGAATGATCTAAAATAAACACTATCGATTAAGTTTCAAAAAAATCTGCTTTATCTTAATAGTCAAGTGGTGAGAAGTGTTTCCAGGTGAGAAGTGTGAATCAATTGCTTTAAACTATTTAAATATGTCTTGGTCGTTCTTATATTCAAGCATCCATTCTGAGTTATTACATTAAGGCAGGTCTTATTAATGAGCCAACATATGGACATTTGAGAGCTCTGCATAAAGCAATAAAGCTAGCTAAATATTAATGAGCCAACATACGGACATTGGAAGTTTTTCAGTCTATATTTCATGTATTTTGAATCTGTTTCCTTGCTTTATCTATGTACACTGACATTGCTTCCTTCTCTTGAATGGTAAGCTAAATAAAGTAAAAATGTAATGGTGTTTGGTTGGAGCTTTCATAGATATGCCTAAGCTTTTGAACACGCGTTTGCTAGAACTATAATCTAATCCAATACATAAAAGTAATACAAAATATTACTGTTCATTCTACATTATTCCTGCTCATTGTCAATTAAGCATCTCACCCGTTCATTCCCAGGTGCACAACCATTGAGTGATGCTAAGTTGGCTTGATTCACCCGAGAGAGAGTAGCACATGAAGATGCATGTGCTGAACAACGATAAGGTGATGCTAGGTTTCATTTCATAGGTTTGAAAAGGAGATTGTAGATGAAGGCTTGGACTTAAAGCAGCACTTAGATGGTATAAGAGTTCTACTAATAATTTAATTGTTAGCATGAAAAATTAAAATTGTCTTTTGCATATATGTAGTGTTTGATAAAAATGCTTAGCTGAAGAAAATTTCAGGTTATGCTTGTAGGGTGTGTTTCGGAAAACGAAAAAATATTAATTAAATAAAATTAATCAATAAATAAAATAGCTAAAAGAAAACAGAAAATAAGATGGATCAGATTTTAGCCAGAGCTCGTGCTACGCACGATGTCCTTAAAACGTATTCGTCGCCTCCCACGGTGCTAGGAGCGTTGCAACGACCGTTTCCCAGGATACAGTGGCTAACGAACGATCGTTTGAGCACACAAACGAAAGTTCCGGCGAACTGGAACACAGTAAGAACACTTAGGAAATTTCAGAGTAGCTGGAAGTGTTTTTAGCTCAAGAAAACGTGAGGAATGTATTGTGTGTTGTCAAACCGTGTGTTTGTTGCAAAGCACCTGCCAGCCTTTTATAGGAGGATTTGTTGTGTGTTAAATGGGGTGTTAATGGACCTGAACGTTGGACATCAATGACCAGTCCGTTGGGCATTGAATCATCCGTAAACTGTCCATTTAACGCTGCATTAAAAGACAAGAACGTTGGGCATTTAATGGTTGTAACGACTTGGAGCAGTTCTGGTGCGCGATCAGAATACCCCAATCAGAGTTGGAGCAACTCTGATGCTGCTAGAATACCTCCACCAGAGTTGGAGCGTCTCTGGTACGAAGCCACCAGAGTTTGAGCAACTCTGGTCCTGGGAAAAATAAAACGTTACGGGAAGAAACAAAAATTAGACCGTATCTTTGAATGATAGGTTTTCGGACGACATTCGTGTCCGCATGTCGCCCGCGCACACGCGTTGCGGTTTTTCTTCTCTGTTTCGGAATTTGATCGGCACCCCCTGCGCGTAAGAGAGAGCATTTACCTTTAGGAACCTTAACTCCTTAAAAGAGGCTTCCCTTTATAAGGGGGTGAAAATCCCTTGAGTTTTTCGGTGTGGGATAAAACACACTAGAAACCCATCATTTTCCCAGTTTTTCCATTTCAACGAGTGAACTTCGAGAATCAATTTCTCATTCACCCGTTATCCGTTTTGAGCGTACCATATATCGAATTGTAGCCCTTAACAAGGACACTCTGAAACCACTTTGACCTGACCCAAATCGGAAGTGGACCCACTCAAAGAATTGCCCCAAAATGACCCTTTAATGCAATTTTAACACATTTTTTCAACAATGCTTAGCACATGAACAACCATAGAGTGATGCTAAGTTGGCTCATGACTATTATGAACTAGAACGGTTCGGGAAGAACATTGCAAATGTTGTTTGAAAGGAAAAAAGATACATTGCTTAGAGTTGTTGATAAAACAGAAAAATATGCTTCAATGTATAAGGAAGTAATACATGTCATCTATAAAAAAATGCTTCATACGTAGTATAATTTTATTCTTTAGTCTTTATTTCATCATTAAAATATAATTTAAATATAAGCTTTTCATAATTCAACATATTCGATCAATTCAGCGTGTTCAGTCAAATTTCATCAATTTCAACATATTCAGCCTTTTAAGTCAATTTCAATGTTATCAAACGGGTTCATATTTTGCTAAATAATACTCCACAAGTAGTTAATCTTTTCAAAAGTTTAATGAGATTAAATAATATTTTAATTATTTAGAATAAAACAAAACTCCATATTAAAATTCATGGAACTTTAGTCTTAGATTGATATCTTTTAATCAATCAGGTTTATACATTTTCTTTGAAGTTCCTTATTGATAGTGAGCTAATCTTTCAAGTCTTGAATTGGTAAAATTTCTTGAAAAAAGGATAGCTAATACTCTCTCTATTCCTAAAAACTTTATCAAGTTTGGTTGGCATGAAAAATAATAAAGTAACAATTATGTAGTTCAAATTTGTATATATAACAGAGAAATAATAGAAATTACAATTTTATTCATTAAAATAAAAGTGACAAAATGTTTGGAACATTTAGAAAAAGAAAGATATTAAAGTTATAAAGAATGAATGAAATACATGCCTATTATCTAATAGATGTCATACAAGGAATTATTTACAAATATCTAATGCATATAATCAATTGCTGAAGTTTTATTTCCTTCAAGATTTAAACCAGACCAGGTTAGATTTAGACAACTGTAAAATACACATAGAATAAACGTCAATCAAACCAAATCAGATTTAAACAGATCAGACCAAAAAATTTAATCTAATAAAAAGTATCTTAAGTAGGTAAGTAAAAGACTTAGAGAGTGCACATATCAGTATACTTTCAGCAAAATAATTTTTATCAGTTATGCGAGTGATTGATCGCTTATAAATAGGGTAGACTAATAGTCTGCCCCCTTAATTATAAGAATAAACATGTAAGTATATATAAATGTAATTGATAAAAGTAATATTCTCCATTATGGAGATGATCATCTGGTTCCTGTTGTGACCGATGTGTAGAACCGACGGAACAAGGACCTTTCGGTTTCCGAAGTTGACCGTTTGACATAGTTCTTACAACTGTTCAATTATCTCCATCCGAATTTATATATTAACATTTAAAATATGTATATTTTACATCCCGTGCAACGCACGGGTGAAATACTAGTTTCCCTTCATACACCGACCTTCTCTCTGCGATATCATCTCTGAAAAGTGTTGTGCCTCAAAAAGAGCTTAGAGCCCTGGCTGACATGTCAGACTACTAAATGTAAAGTAAAAATTAAACTTCAGTTGAGGTAATCGTCGGATTGTTTACTGTAAATATTTCTCTTTCTCCTCCAATTTCAAGTTTAATCATATAAAATCAAGTATAGAGAACTATTTGTTGATCTTATCTATGAAATTTTCTATTCATTTGCAAGTATTATGTTTCTTTTGCTCAGGTCTCTAGAAATTTCTATTCATCGTGTATTTATGTTGTTTTTGTTTGTCCCTTTAATCAACCTCCATTCACAGAACTTCAGTCTTACTTTTCGTAGCACTAGATTCTCACCCGTGCGATGCACGGATGAAAATTTATCAATGTGTGATTAAGAGCTCTATTCTAAAAACTCATAAACAATTGAATAAAAAATAAAAGAAATTAAAGTTATAAACAAAACAAAAAACACAAATAAACAATATGCAACAAAGAGTAACAAGCATGATAATAATGAGGTTTTTGACTATTTTAACTATAGAAAAATTCAATTTTTCAATTTTTCCAGTTTTCAAATTTTACATGTTTAACATTTTAGTTCTTAACATTTTAACTATAGTTCACATTATTTTTCCGATCTTTTCAAATTTAAGAATGATGTTTTCTATTTTTATTGTACTTTATAAAATTATTTTTGAATTTTTAGAATATTTTAGTAATGAGAGGAGAGTGTGTGCAGTTGCACAGGGCCTGAAGAAAGAGAGGGCCGAAAAACATTTAGTAATAGTACTAGGTAGCCCAAGTCCAAATAGAAAACCCCAATAGCCTGAGAGCCGGAAGTTAGCGTGGATTCAACCAGAGAACGCAGCTTGCCGCGAGGGAAATAAAGCAGTCGCCCATTCCGCAGCGGTCACTAGCACCGCAGCAGTCGACCAAGGCCAACTCCTTTCTCCGTGACCTCCGTCTAGGCATCTAGGGATTCCACCGCAGCACGTCAGCACTCCGGGCACTCCAGCACCGCACCTCTCCAGCTCAGCAGTCGCGCCACTCCGTCCACTCGCACGCCAAGTCTCCGCTACAACCTGCAGGTAAGCTAATCTATTGGACTATTTTAATTGATTTTCTCATATGTTTGGATTATTAGTAGATTAATTAATATTTATGTCGTATGCCTCCTATTCTCCTAATCTATTACTCCGTTTGATATTGAAACAAATTAGGTATTGGGGTTGTTTTTTTTAATTTTGTGTAATCGCTTGATGAATTAATTAAACTATTTATGTTTAATAATTTGGTGTAAATGTATAAACATGTTATTAGTTACTCCGGGTATTACTTTTTAGGTTGTGGGTTTAAAGTTATTAAGTCAAAATAAAATTAATTTTCAAGACCTACTATATTTTTAATAGCAGGTTACTCGTGAAATCATTTCAGCCTTGCCTTTTTTATTAATCAAAGTTATTCCCATGCCACTAACCATCAAATGTATGATTTGAGTAGATTTAATCATCCCTTAATTTATTAGCATATTATATGATACTGACATACCGTATATAACTTATAAGGAAAAGAAAGTATTGTGTGTGTGGAAATCGTTTTCTCAAATGATATTGTATATTATTCCAAAATCGGATTATTATTTTTTGTTGTCTGACAATCAAACATGCTTTTGACCCCAAAGTCGGATTTTTTTTTAGATTAACACAATTATAGATCACTTTCAAATTCTTACAATAACAATAATAATAAAACTGTTCTTGTCAGATTGTGATGTTAACTCTATAAACCCAAACCCTAACCTTTATGTTGTACCTCTTTGCTGAATCCATACTCTGCCAGGCTTTCTCTTCGCTCGGATTTCAACCATGGAAATCGAGAATGTAACCTCTGATGTGATGATGGACCCACCTCCTGCTAGCAATCCAGCCAGCCTTCCAGTGAAGCCAAACTTCAAGCCACTTACAGCGCATGAAATTTCCGATGGCCAGGTGCAGTTCCGAAAAATTCCTGTTCCGTCGCATAGGTACACACCTTTGAAGAAAGCCTGGATGGACATCTACACCCCAATCTTTGAGCAGATGAAAGTCGACATACGTATGAATCTCAAGGCCCGTAGGGTGGAGCTAAAGACCCGACCTGACACCCCTGACATCAGCAACATCCAGAAGTCTGCCGACTTTGTGCACGCCTTCATGCTGGGCTTTGACATCTGTGACGCTGTTGCTCTCCTCCGGGTGGATGAGCTGTACGTTGATTCATTTGAGATCAAGGATGTGAAGACCCTCCGAGGGGAGCATTTGTCCAGGGCGATTGGAAGGTTATCTGGTAAAGGAGGAAAGACGAAGTTTGCTATTGAGAACTCGACGAGAACACGCATTGTGATTGCTGATACTAAGATTCATATACTAGGTTCGTTTACAAATATAAAGGTCGCAAGAGATTCACTTTGCAGTCTGATTATGGGGTCTCCTGCTGGGAAGGTGTATTCCAAGCTTAGAGCAGTCACTGCCCGTTTGGCTGAGAGGTTTTGATTAAATTATGGTAAATTTAACACATCAGTATTTTCTGAAATTTTGCAAGGGTTCTCTAGGTGACATTCCTGCTCGTCTTGATATTGTATTCATTACAAAAGTGTAGCTGAATTAAGTGCCTTTTATCAGATTTGTTTGGCCCCTGCCTGTGCTCAGCTTGTTCTTTCATGTTGAAACATGATTTTCCCAATTTCTTGTTTAAAAGAGACTTTCTGGGTTTACTTGCAATGTCAATGTCTGGTATTCAAAAATGGAAAACTGTATTAATCCTCCTACAATGTTTTGGTGAAAAGATTTCAAAAGGGTGAACTTCCATATCTTTCTTTTGAAGTACTACGTAGCAATTCAATGTTTTCTGCTGAGGTATATGTTTGTTTATTTGGAAAACTATCAAACAAGTTGGCGTACTATTAGTCCTAGTCTTTGTACTTCACAATCAATCAATTAAACTCTCAACTTTGAAATTGAGCGATTTAGGATGTTTTTATTTTATTGATTTTTTTGTCTGATCTAGTTGTTTAATTATAAATTGATTTGAATTGATATGGCGATTTAGGATGTTTTTAATTGGACAAAAGTTTTCTAATTTGTTCTAGTATGTTTAAGTTTGGTTTCAATTGATTCAACTGATGTGAATTGGTTTAGTTTTGTAGATGTTTATTTTATGTGTATTTTATAACTATCGAAATCGGATCTGATATAAATTGTTATGGATTTGATTTGTGATTGAAGTTAGTTCAATTAAAAACATATTAGCTTGTAAACAATAGGTTTTGGACCAAACATATTAGCATGTTTAATTTTTCTAATTTTTTATACCTTATTTTTTCCTTTTTCTTTTTGCTTTCCCTTTTGCTTTCTTCTTTAGCCTTACTTTACTCGCATCTTTGTCTTTCTTCTTCCTACCATTTTCTACTCCATGTATCTCAAAGATGTGCAGGGATGATGGTTTGGTTTGTACTTGGTGTTGCTACTCTTGTGGTTCCCGTATGATTATCATGGACAACATCTGAAGACTTTTGGACGGATAAAATAGAAGGCAAAATATGATGGAACAGAGTATTTAATGCCCCCTGCCAATCTTCGTTTATGTTCTTTGGTTCTGCTCTGTAATTTTTGAGAGGTGATTTTGCCCTTCGATTATTAGAACTTTAAGGTTATGTGAAGGAAGCAAGGAAGGAGTAGGGGAAGGGGCAGAAGCTCTAGTAGTTTCATCCTTGTTTACCCCAGCCCCCGACCCCCTGAGTAAAAGAAGAAGAAGAAGAAGAATTAAGAGAATAAAACAAGAAAGAAAAAGAATAAAAAGAAAAGGGTAAAAATAAATAAGAAAAGATAGTGTATCAGAAAATAGAAAACATTTAAAAAGCACTCATGACATCCACACAAGCCTTTGGCTTTAATCGAAAAACTTGTTATTTACCGCTAAATTGATTAATTGCACGTTTTTAAAGAGTTTGATGGTTCATTTGGTTGATTCCGAAGTGCAAGTGCGTTATTAACGTTTTGGACAAAATACGAGAGCTTATTTGACAATTTTCAGTTGTTTATTTGATACCAGTTTCAAAATCATGAATAATAGATTCAAAATAATTTGAACTGCCACCAAATAAAATTAAGCCGCAAATAACCATAACTGAATGCAAAAATTGACTACAACCGTAGTTGTTTGGTTCAATACGAGTTTTAGGCTTTCAAAACGAATCAAATACAACAAACTAATTATTAAAATACTATCAGTTGAATCAAATAATTAGATATAACTCACACATAATTACATGTAACTCGCGCATAAAAGTATGTAACTCGTGTATAACAAGATATAACTCACACATAATTACATGTAACTCGCGCATAAAAGTATGTAACTCGTGTATAGCAAGATGTAACTCACACATAACAAGATGTAACTCACACATAATAACTTGTAACTGGAGTATCAGATGATGTAACTTCGTATATTATCAAATGAAACTCCAAGCTAGAAGCAAAATAAACAAACTCAATATCTTAAAAACTCTAAAAACATATAAAAGTGATAAAAAAATATATTATAGAAAAAGTGTATGCATATAAAAATATATTACAAAAAATGTATGAATGTAAAAAATTAAAATTACACAGGCAATATTGGTCTCATTTGAAAGGTCATGAAAAATAAAAAAATTTGATATAAATTTTATAAAAATCTGATCAAAAAAAAATTATTAACAATTTTAAGAAAAGAGGAAATAAAAAATAACAAAGGGTGCATGGTGTTCACCATACACCGGTTCCACGGTTAAACAAGAATTCTAATGTCATTGATAGTTTGTTATTTTCTAGTGTTTACAAATTTAATGTTTTGCATTTTACTTAATACGTAGTACCCATACAAACTTTTATTTAAGATGTTACATTGTTGTATCTGTGATTTAGTTAAATTTATAAAATTCATTTACTACTACTCCGTATAATTAATATAACAACACTGGGTTGCACTGCACGGGCTCGCATTTTGCAAGTTATAACATTTGGTTGAAATTAAACCTTGAAGTCACCAAGCGATCGGGAAAAGAAAGCAAAGTTATTTCATTAAATCTTACACATATTACAAACACCAAACACTCACATGGAACGCTACAAATTACAAAGCACACAACTAAAGCTCTATGAGATCAGCGAAGTTTCATCAAAGTCTTATTGGATGGAGATGAAATCAGTTTGATGGAGGGGGTGAAGAAAGAGTTGGAATGGCCGGGAAGTTGGGGACAAAGCTTGGCAGTGGAGGGAGAGTGAGCTTTGGAGCAGTAGGCAAGGTTGTTGGGAGAGGAACGTTTGGCAATTTGAAAGGTGGTAATAATGTAGCAGTTGGCATAATAGGAAGGGAAGGCATTTGTGATGGTATGGCTGGTTGCGGCGGCATATGAGGAGCCGTCACCGTCACCGTTGCCGGTTGGGGCGCACCGTCAGTTTGCATGAGACGGCGGCCTGTGCAGCTAGTCTCCATGCTTGCCAAGCACAATGCAATCACCAGAGAGAGGAGGAAGCACTTCTTTGCTGCGGCCATTTTTCTCAAATACTACTTTAATTTGAGCTTTGGAGGTGAGATACTGAGATATGGACAATAACAAAGGGTATATATTATATATAGGGATTAGGGATGAGCGTATGCTATCTCAAATTGGCTGATGCGTGTTTGACGGACTACTAAATTTGACCACTTGAGTACTCTTTTTGTCTAGCAAGTTTAGAAGCTGAACAAACAAGTACTTAGTCACGCCTTGTTCACCCACATTTCAGCTACTTGTTCAAAATCTTCTCTACCTTGCAGCTATGCTAACAATAATGTGCATTACAATTTTATAAGGAAGAAGCAAAGATTGACATTTGAAAGGGCATAATATTGACATTCTAGGCTTCTAGCTAAACAGTTTTATGGAAATCAACTTTGTTCGCCCCAAAGGGTGAGCATCACCCCTACCCAGTTGCTCATTATTATACCGTGGGAGCCGCTCATGGTGAGCATCCTGCTCACATAGCTAATACATGTGTGAACATTAACTTTTGTTGTTGTTTAGGGCAGGGGCGGACCCAGGAAAGTCATTTTGGGGGGGGGCGAAAATATTTGGGGGGGTTCAAAATACTTTTTGGAAGAGCAAAAATCATTTTTCGTATATATATACACTAAAAACATTTTTGTTGGGGGGGCGGTAGCCCCCCTGGGTCTCTACTACGGTCCGCCCATGGTTTAGGGTGGTGTAACTCACGTTTAAAAATATATAACTCACGTTTATAGGAAATGTAGTGTAAGGCAAGTCGAAATATAAATTGTCTAATACAAAGTGTAAGAAATAAAACATTGATTTCAATGTAAACAATGAAAAAATGAAGTCTATATGCTCAATTACTTTACGTAAATAGTGAATATGTTTTTTCTAATATCAAGGCTATGAAAATGATATATTTAAAAAAAAATCGTACTCCCGCACCTAAAACACGTGTGAATTGTGATTTTTTTATTGCGATAGAAGAGGTTTATTTTATGGTGTAACTCGCGTTATGGCAAATGTAACTTGTATTGTTGGAAAATGTAACTCGTGTGTTGCAAAATGTAACTTGATGATGCAAATCCAAATGTAACTCGCACATTTAAAAATGTAACTCGCACATGAAGATTTAAATCGCGCATAAGAAGATGTAACTTGCGCATAAGAAGATTTACTCACGCACAAAATGATGTAAATTGTGTATAAGAAGATGTAACACCATGTATTATCAAATATAACTCCATGAATCGAGTATAAATGTACCTCTCACATATGAAAATGTGAATCGCACATATGAAAATGTAATCTCATGCTTTATCAAATGTAAATCGAAATAAAATAAACTCAATCTCTTAAAAACTCTAAAAACATACTCCCTCCGTCCCCAAAACAACTTCACACTTCATTTTCCACACATATTAAGGAAAATGAAGTGTTTGACACTGTTTGGACACTATTTGGCACTGTTTGGCACTGTTTGACACTGTTTTGATGTAGATAATTTTTCAAATAAGGAAGTGGGAAAAAGTGTGAAATTAATTTTGGGACATCAATTTAAGGAAAGTGGGAAGTTGTTTTTGGGACAGAGAGAGTACAAAAGAGAAAAATATATTATAGAAAAAAGTGTATGAATATGAAAGAATATATTAGAAAAAAGTGTATGAATAAGAAAAATATTTTGCACGTCACTCTAACCCAAAGTAATTTGATCTCTTTATTAGTTAGTCAAATTTATATTCATCAATAAAATACATTCTATTACTTTTAATAATGGCAGGTCTTGCCAATTCATATACCTTTGTTACATGTTTATTTGTGAGCATCACATTCTCTTTTTTCTTTCGTTTTACACATTAAGAGGCTCGTGATGCTCCTTACAAAATTAAGTGCTAGACAATCCTGATAAAGAACTATATGATTTTTTTACCGAAAACTGATAATATATTATTGCAACATATCATTCTTCAAGTGGAGTACAATGCAATCTTGATAAAGAACTATATGATTATAATGAGAAAATTACAAGGACTATGATCAAAAGAAGTGATGATTCCTAAAATATGCCTAGATACATTTGTAATGCTGATAGATCTTCCCCAGCTCAGGTTTCCAGCCACTCGAACCCGAAGGTTCTAGAACAACTCACAGCCATCACACAGACCTACTGGGATAGGGAACCACCACCAAGGCACCAAAACCCAAACCCAACCCAGCTACCCTCTCAAGCCTCTCCCTAGAACCCACAGA